TGTGACCTACACCTGTTTCCACACCTTGGCTGATTGTGACCTGCACCTATTTTCACACCCTGGCTGAATGTGACCTGCACCTGTTTTCACACCCTGGCTGAATGTGACCTGCACCTGTTTTCACACCTTGGCTCATGTGATTAGGTGGAGGATCATCAGGGGGTCCAGGACCCTCTTAGGGACACTTAAAATCTGGGAAAGAACAATTATCACTGCTTCACTGTTTCATCCAGCTGTCATAAACCCACATGTGCTATTTACACATGTGTTCCTAATGTCCTAATGTTCCTGAAGTCTCAGAGTCTGTGAGCTGCATCTGACGTTTGCAATAAATCTCTGCATGTTTCATTGATAACATGAAACTTGTTGGTAACACCACAACGGCTTTCATTTCAGCTCGTTTCAGATCCTTCTGTCTCGGTCCCAAAAAGGTTGATTCTGTTCATCTGGACGTAGCGTTTGGGGAGAAACGTTTCATCATCAGGTGACGTCTTCAGTCTCAGCTGACTGCAGGTTTCAATCTTATCAACAGGACATTTGCACAATGACTGAAACCACTGAAGGAACAATGGGCTGGAAGGTCATGACCACTGATCAAAGACCACTGATCACAGACCACTGATCAATGGCCATGAGTCCCATTAAATAAATAAATAAATACAATTTTATTTATATAGCACCTTTCTAGAGTCACAAAGTGCTGCACATAAGATAACAAAGGCAAAGGCCAAACAGACGATATAAAACAGGCAAAAATTAATCAAAAGCAGTTTTAAAAATGTGAGTTTTGAGTTGTTTTTAAAAACAACTACTGAGTCCACGGTTTCACAGGTTTGGGGGAGAAAGTTCCACAATGTTCCACAGTGGCAAAAGCTCACCCTTATTTCTCATCTTAGTCTTTTTTATAGCAAGTAAGCCCTGATTGGATGACCTCAGGGACCTGCTGGGGACATCGGGCTGTAGCAGAGCAGAGATCATTCACAGAGAGTTGAATGGCTGCAATCACAGCATGTAAGATGGTGACAGATGGACCCTTAGGCCCCTCCTCCATTCAGAGATGGTCT